CATCAAAAAAAAGGGGGAAAAAGGAAAACGGGGAGTGCCGCTAAATGCCGGAAAAATGCAAAATTGGGGGGAAAAAAACCAAAAATGTGGGTTTTTAGGGGGGAAAAGGAAAATGGGGAGTTCTAAATGCTGGAAAAATGCAAAAATGGGGGGAAAATAACCCAAAATGTGGGGTTTTTAGGGGAGAAAAGGAAAATGGGGAGTTCTAAATGCTGGAAAAATGCAAAAATGGGGGGAAAATAACCCAAAATGTGGGGTTTTTAGGGGGGGAAAAGGAAAATGGGGAGTTCTCCTAAATGCCGGAAAAAGGCAAAAATGGGGGAGAAACAACACAAAAAAGTGGGTTTTTTTAGAGGGGGAAAAGGAAAACGGGAAGTTCTGCTAAATGCTGGGAAAATGGTGGGGAAAACACCCCAAAAATGTGTTTTTTTGGGGGGAAAAGGCCCGGCTGGTGGCGGCGGGGAGGGTTAATCCCGCGGGAGCGCGAGGGCGTTCCCGGAATTCCCGGAATTCCATGCGGGCCGCGCCCCGGCTTCCGCCCCAGGTGACCCCAGGTGGGATGGGGACAATGAGGAGGCCGGGGTGGCCCCGGGGGGAGGGGACGTGTCCTCGTGTCCCGGTGTCACCGGGCGCCCCAAGGGGTGCGGAATGGGTGGTGGAATTTGGGGTGGGGGCGGATGGGACATTGGGGACACTGGGGGGGGTTGGTGGCTCTAAGGGGGACATTGGGGACATTGGTGGCCCTAAGGGGGACATTGAGGGGGTTGGTGGCCTTAAGGAGGACACTGGGGACACTGGGGGGTTGGTGTCCCCAAGGGGACACTAGGGACACCATGGGGGGTTGGTGGCTCTAAGGGGGACACTGGGGACACTGGAGGGGATGGTGGCCCCAAGGGGGATATTGGGGGAATTGGTGGCCTCAAGGGGGATATTAGGGACACTGGGAGGTTGGTGGCTCTAAGGAGGCCGCTGGGGACACTGGTGGCTCTAATGGGGATGCTGGGGACACTGGTGGCTCTGAGGACATTGGGGGGGTTGGTGGCCTCAAGGGGGACATTGGGGACACTGGGAGGTTGGTGGCTCTAAGGGGGACGCTGGGGACATTGGTGGCTCTAATGGGGAT